CACCCACCGACTCTCCAGGTATATTTATTTCACAAACTGTAAGACAAAAAATGGATTGTTCACAAACTTCGGATCAGACGACACATAAGACCCGTAAGTGAAGTTGAGGTTAACCACCGAACACCTGTCGATACTTGTACAAATAATACAATTTAAGTTTTAAAATTTCACATTTCGGAAGACATGACGTTAGACTGCAACGCAATGTTGAGAATGTGGTCTGTTGAGCAGCAGACTCTTGTTCAAGCCATGCTCATGTACTGTGAACATTTATCAATACAGTCCTCCCAAATATCAAATAGTGAAAAACATGAGATAGTAGTAAGTGTATAGAAAACACTAGGGAGAAAGAAAATTACAAAATGAATGTGACTGAAATTTTAACAGCAGAAATATCAAGATAGAGGATGAGATGTCTAATAAATTAATACCTTTAAATAATATCCTAAATACTTAATTTAAAAGCCATCGCGGTTGCAGCGTCTCTGAAAGAAATTCACATATTCATAACATAATGCCAGTCAAGTCAAGAGAATTGCAGCGCGTGGTGGGCTAAATGTGGATCTTCACCAAAAGACATTTGTGCACCATGGTAGGTCAAAAAGGACATTTTTGAGTGACATCCTCACACGGTCTCTAAATAAACTAAACTCAAAGTAGAGAGTATTTTCAGCGCAACGACCCTTCATACGCCTTTTATATCAGAAATTCCAACGAATATATTTGCAAAATTTTGGATCTTGACGGGTCAATTTACCGACGTCGTCTTCATTGAATGACACTGGCATATTATAAGAGGTCAAAATGCGTATTTTTAAGTGACATTCTCTGACGGTCCCCAAATAAAGTAGACTCAAATTTAAGAGTGTTTTCAGCGCAGCGTCCCTTCATATGCCTTTTTTCACAAATTGCAATCAACATATTTTTACTAGACATACTTTTAATAATGTTTTAAAATGAATGCCAGCCGACTGAAATAATATACAAAGAAGACGTCAGTTGAGGGTGCATCATATTATTTAGCCTTCGGAGCATCCTCAAAACCTCGTTAGCTCAATAAACTAGCGGTTTTAAAACATCAAAACTAATTTGACTATGACAAAATTGTAGTTAACTGAACGAGACTAATGAACGGCAAATTTAGAGGCCCAAAGATTCCTTTAATCATTAGGTTACACTTTGCAAAGTATAACAATGCCTGCTTAAGGATTCACAGAAGAAAGATACTTTATAGATTTGATGACAAGTTACCAACTGCAAGCAAATCTCGACAGATTTTCTTCTGCTTACATAGTAGTCAGGAAGAATCCTACAAGGATTTTCCTGACACTACTTTCGTTACCCTCACAGGAAATTTAAAAAATCGACATTCGCACACTTTGAATCTATCTATAAGAGATATCTGATTCACAAAACGAGCAAGGGTGACGAAATTTTCGGTGTTAATTTGATCATATTATGGGCTCCAATCCGGAGGATCTTATGAAGTCAGTGATTAAAAAAGCACCAATGCATGCGGAAAGTGGGATATGCTGTGGTTGCTGAAAACGTTTCCGAGAAATAAAAGGAAAATCGTTTAAATCAATTTTTTGGAAAATGTGCGAAGTTCGCATGAAAAAATACCCATTTCTGCTGACTATGTTGTAGTTAAATCCTTTAAAGGAAGGGAGAATTCAAAAGGCATCTAGAAACTTGTATCGAAGAATGTTGCTGAAGCAATTAAAAAAGAGGAAATAATTTCATGTGAATCCCGAAGAAAACGCTTTTAACGATCAGCCAGTTGTGAAAATCACGTTCTTCAAATGCTAATCGCATAGCTTAAAAGAATACGCATGCAACATTCAGGCCAAACGTCTTCCGCAATGTGTTGTTAGAAAATTGGCGTTATAATTTAGCCACTCGGTAAGAAAAAAGGGCAGTGAGAAGTGCATTTTCGCAAGAATGAGCTATAAGTTTCAGCGCTACTACTCAGTTCGGATATGGCTTTCCAATGAATGATAACCTTCAAAAACTTAAAACTGTGCGCATGGCCAGTAATGTATTTACATACAGTCGTAAAACGACCCAGTTTGTTCACGATATGACAAAACTTATTCACTTATGTCTTTCTTTGTAGACTTCAAGGTGCCCCGTGTAAGCTTTTACTAAAAGTATTCTTTACCCCATGAGATATCTACAAGCTGACCGCATGAAGTCAGATGTGTGATGTTCGGAAGCGATCGCTGGAACAAAGGCTTGTTCCAGCGATCGTTTCTTCTTCTGATCAACTAGTTCCTGGACCTCACATTTTCGCTTGTACGTGCCTTTCTTATTATCGCTTACTCTATATCTACATACCAGAGTCCCGGATTACCATCAGCTACACAATTCCCTGCATTTAAAGAAATCGAAACAAAGACTTAAGTGGTTGAGCAGTTTCAAACAATCTACTTTACTCTACTGACATTCATTAATAGGTATTCAGGCCACAGGCAACTCAGGACGTTTTTGCTTAAAATTGATGAAACTTTTGATCTTAGATCTTTGATAAACGTTAAAAAGGGAAATTGCCTATTTCTGTGGCTGCCTGCAAACAGCAGAGAATAGATTATCATGACTACAAGGGGCTTCACAGTCGCTGGGATATAGGCTGATAATGTCCATGGGCCAAACCAGGTGATTTTGTAGTGTGTGTGGACTTACGCAGCATCTGTCGCACTCTGTCCTCCTTCCAACGCGATCTCAAGACATAGTCGAGAAGAACGAAGAGACCGGTGGACACAGGCGGATTGCGCGACTAGACCTGCATCTAGGCGTTCTGCTTAACATCCTCCTGGATTACAAACAAGAGTTGACTGAGTTTTTAACCTACAACAACACCACAACGGTCAGCAAACGATGAGGGTGGCTGGGCAGCCATGTTCACGGCCTGCATATCCAGTGGGAGCGCAAGCGCATCTACCGGCAGGGAGCGCTGTGTTAGAAAACTGCTAGCGGATACACGGCTTGTTAATCCTGATAACCCTAACAGGGATCTAAGGATGTTATTTGTGCCCCACTTGATACTAGGCGCTTTCTTGTATACAGGTTGCAGTCAAACATTAATATCTCCGTCTTTAGTATGATAGCGTTCCATTTCGCTTCCTTCTGAAGCACGTTTTATGTAGATTTGTTCCGTTTTGGTAACCACCCGTCGTCTATCTGCGCAAGGCGTCCGCTCCAGCGCAGTTGCAGTTGTGTCGGCATGGCGTAGATGCTGAGGATTCCGTCCGTTCCAGTACATCAGTGTCCGGGATCCGGTCCTGTCACTTGAACTTCAATATCCGTCGCAGACAGCTGAGGTGGAAGCACCCATCCACTACCTCCGACGCCGCCATCGTCCAGCTCCCCCAACGGAAAACTAACGCCCTAAACATGCCGGCTTTCTTCACAGAGACCACCAAAGACTTATAACAACTCTGTAGCAGGAAAACACCAGTGTCATTCGCGATCTCGACTGAAGTTCGCAAGCATATCTGCTGCAACCGATGGGGATATGGCGCCGAGGACAAATTCCTCAAGATTTCAAATACACCACAGTCGCACACTTCTATAAGCGGAAAGGGAATCAGCACCTCTGATAATCACAGAGCAGTCTCGCTGCTCCACATCACCGGGAAGATTTTTGCTCGCATCCTTCCTAGTCATCCCAACGCGCCGGTACTTCAACCGACGACACGGTGAAACCGTCGACCTGAGCTTTGCCTCCCGCCAACTGCAAAATATGCGGCAAGAGATGCGAACCCAATAAAATCCTTCGGCACGGTGAATCGCGATAGAATTTTGGAAATCATGCATTCAACTCTCCTGAGGCATTCACGACAGGATGATGGCAAGTTTCACAGACAATGGAATAGTATTAGAAACATTTGCGTTAACCAACGGAGTGAGAAAGGGCTGGGTACTCGTCTCCACCCTC